CTCCCTCCCTCCCTCCCTCCCTCCCTCCCTCCTTCCTTCCTTTCCTTCCTTCTTTCTCTCTCTCTCTTCCTCCCTCTGTTCCTTCCTTCCTTTCTTCCTTCCCTCCTTTCTTCCTTTGGTTTTCTTTTGCTTTGAACAGTTGTTTTGGTCTGAGAAAAGCCTGAACGTTAGCGTATGACTCTGAGGTGGCTTGGGGCTGTCTGTGCCTGTTGGGCGACAGGCAGCTGCCAGCTTTAGCAATAGGCACTTTTGATCAGTTGCATTTGGTACAGAATTTTGAGTGACGGTGAAAATTGTTGTCTTTGGAAAAGCACAAAATTAACCTGGAAAGGCGTTTCGGCTCAGGTAGCTTACCCAGAATGCGTGTGATTTGTGTGTCTCAGCTGTCTGCAGAGAAAGCAGCTGCCCAAACGACTATTTACATTCCCAGATAATGAGAGCAAATAGCTTTTCATGGCCTTGCATATTTGGGGGCCCTTTTCTCTGTCCTGACCCCAGGTGTGGATGAAATTGGAAATGATTCCTCTGTGAGAAATGAACCCCAGACACGGCATAGTGTGTTTCACAACTGCGGTGGAACAGAAGTAAATCCCCAATCCCTGCTGTGTGAGGACTGAGCGAGGCTCCAGAACAAACCCGACTGTCTTGAGTCCACGTTATCTTAATTTTTAAATTGATAGGAAAAAAAACCCTACAAACTGTCAAGCAAGTTATATGACAACTAACAACATTGCACTTTCTGTATATGAAATCAATATTTAAATAACTTATTTTTCTCCATTGCTATTCTTAAACATTGTAAGTAGCTGTAATATACCAATACCAATACGTTCTTGCAATTGCTTCAGCCCAAGAAAGCTGTGTATTGTTTTAAAATTGTAAAAAAAAAAAAAGAATTATTGTGATGATCCATTAAAAAAAAAAAGGAAGGTAGACAGAAGGGTTTTCCTGTGTATCAAACTTGTCTATAATTATGTCATCTATGTACCTAGGGGAAAAAGTAAATAAATTTCTTCAGTCAAATTTGTTTCTTTTGTTGTTCCTGTAGTGTTTCAAAGACGGAAGAAAAATTAAAGGTTGAAAAGTGTAGTATTTTGTGAAAATACTAACTGTACAGCATTCTTGTTTTTAATAATGCAACAAGGATCTTTGTTTGCCTGATGTCTGTGTGTCTGTGTTCACATGTATATGGGCATGTATGTGTCATGACACATGTGTGGCCATTGGGGGCCAGTCTTGTTTGAGACAGACTCTCTTGTTTATGAACTGCTGTGTCCTCTCGACCAGCAGCCCCCACCCCACCCCTTGAGCTGTCTATATCTCTGATCTCACTGGAGGAGCACTGGGCTACTGCACCCAGTTTTCCTTGGGCTCTGGATACCCAAGCTCAGTCTCCACACTGCAAGCGTTTTACCCACTGAGCCATATCCCTGGCCTACTCACTTCCAGTGCTGGAAGCATACTGTTTGCCTTGCCCAGTTCTGGGACTGTTTTCTTTTCCAGTACACAGGAGTGAGTCATAATCATGGGCCCTTTCAAAACAGAAATGTTCAGAGGTCCTCTCTAAGCTTATACTCAAATAAAGAATCTGTTGCCATAAAATGATCAACTAGACCAATAATTCACAGTGAAATGGAATAGCTAAACTCATATCTACTGAAAAAGAGAGAGAAAAAAATCAGGTTAAGATAGTCTAGGAGTTAGCCAACTTGACAAAACTGTCTTTCCAATGTTAGTGCACCAGCATTGGTATAATAATACTGATTTAGCTTAGTTTGGTTTGATTTTTGTGGTGGCAGGGCTTGAGCTCAGGGGTTGGATATGCCAGGAGAGTGTTCTGCCACTAAGCTATGGACCTTTCCCCAAAGAGGGTACCAGCAATAACATTTCTTGAGTATATCATGCATGCACTTGAAACAAGACAAAACACTTCTCCTGTCCTGACAGTGACTTCATTTCTCCTCCCCATGGACAGATATTACAGCAGAGCTGACCTAGCTTTTCAGACATATTTACAAACATAGTGCCATGTGCAGTCCACAGAGAAGAAAGTGTATTCTTCATTTGTTTTTAAATGAATATATTTTAGAAACTTAACTTTAACATCGTTCCATCCTCTAAAAGCTGTGTAGTATTCTGTTGTGCAGATTATTTAACCAAAACTCTACAAGCTTGAAAACTTTCAGTTTTCAGATTTTTTTTTAAGAAAAGATTATGTTTGTGAGTCTACTGTCTTCAGACTCACCAGAAGACAGAATCAGATTCCGTTACAGATGTGAGCCATTATGTAGTTGCTGGGAATTGAACTCAGGACCTCTGGAAGAGCAGACCTTAACCTCTGAGCCATCTCTCCAGCCCCTAATGTTTATTTTTTTTAAGCTGTTAGGAATTTCCTAAACACCTCTGTCACTTAGGAAGTGGGTCAAATGGCTTACAGCTGTGCATGTTCCAAATCATGATCAAGTATTTTAAAGCCACTTATTAATTTTACTAAAGTACATCTTACTGTGGTACGTTGGTGTTTTTTTTTTTAGTTTTTTTGTTTTGTTTTGTTTTGTTCAGTAACAAATTTATTATGAACTTGACTTCGCACATAAAGTCCTAATGAGGACATCACTTAAATGTCCTAATTTAAAATGTTAAAATATCATGTTATAGACGTATGCTTTCCAAAACTCCACAAGTCTTTTAATGATCTTCCCTCTCTGTATCTTCAAGCCTCCTAAGATACCTGTGCCCCAAAGACCCATAACCTCAGTTCCTCACTGACTGATATTGTCCTCCTCAGGACTGGCAGGTGCAGCATCATCTCTTTCTACAACTCAGAACAGTCTAGTGGCACCAAGCCCAGGTAGGATGAGGCAGCCCCAGTCTTGTCGGGGAAAGCATTTGCTTGTCTGCTCTAGCTGAATAACTCCTACAGGGTGTCAAGCCTGACAGGTGAAGCAAGGGCTCTCACTGTCCTATCGGTGACAGTACCTTGTACCAACTTTCCCCATAGTAAATTGGGAGATGCTTGTCAAAATGAACCACGTGGTGATGCCCTGGCCATGGCTCATGTGGTCCTGCAAGCCTCTGGGTCTTCTTCATTAAGGATAGGATGTCAACTTCCAAAAGCAGAGAGCCAAAGTTTAATTTCCTTTCTTCTGATTATTGTGTGACATCCATAACAATTTCTGAAATTTTCTATTCTTATCGTTAGACTGCTATATTATGTTGCTTAATAAATATTTATCAAATGTAAAGAAACTAAACTCACAATAGTTGTCTCTTGCAGCCTTAATCCTAGAAAATGTTCCACTCTTATTTATTCCTCTGTAGCCCCAGGTATTTGAGTGAAGTAGATGCTTTTGTGTGTGCGTGTCAGGTCAGCTTCCCAACCAGATTGATCTGGAAGCTGATTCCCTCACCAACGCCACCCCAGGCACAATTCTTTGGAAAGAATCCCTGACCGAAGACTGACTGCCATAAGCTGCACAGTGTACCAAAACATG